CACACTCACCCAGCACCTCACCAAGACGCGACAATGGATACCAGGGCGGCTGAATGTCACCCAGGTGAGTCGCTATGCGTCTCGGGATGATGCCCAGGCTCTTGCGGCCGAGTGTGAATGCTGCACCGCACGAACAAAGATGCCTTTTGTGTGGTCTGTGCAGGTTGACGCGCCCGCCGAGGACCAAATGCTGGCCAAATGGTGGCTCGACAGGAAGAGCACCGCACTTTTGGCAGTTTATTTCCTCTTCTGTCTCCCCCTCTTCCTCGGAGGGCTCATCAACATAGTGTTTGGCCAGATACATTGGCAGCTTAGGCATGCGTCTCTCTCTGCATCGCGCAATACCTTCTTCGTGTATGTTTTGTGCATCAGGCCGTTTCGATTCGTTGAGTGGTGTATCCACTTTAATTTGCTCGTTCGGCCTTTGCACTGGCATTGAGGCAGCTGGTTGCTGGTCTGCGAATTTCTCCTGCCCTTCCTGTGTGTTGTCTTTTGTCTGTTTGACGACCTCAGGAATGACGGTGCGCAAGAATTCTCTTCTTTTCGACCTGACCAGCATGCGCTTCTGATCGATTAATGGGTGGTTCTGCAGATCTGATCTGCCGTGTTCTTCTCCCTCAGCCCCCTCTGGACCTTGCAGCTGAGGAAGACGGAACAAATCGTCATATGACAGGTGCTCAAACAGACGCACATCACGTGACACCTTGAGCTTGTTGAGCTCAGGCAGATAGATCAGAAAACCATCCTTCATTCGTGTTTTGTATCCAACGAAGATACCTCTGTGCGCTTTTGGGTCGAACTTGCTTTCTCTGTTTTCTTTTGTAGACATACGGAAGTCGTCCCCATGTGTGCAGCAGATGGTCAAGGTTACGCATGAAGCCCTTTCATTTGACGATCGGTGGCTCATAGTCTTCGTTCGCTGCTGTTGGTCTCAATGCGTGCAGGTGGGCGGCCGTCTGTAACGCAAACGCTCAGAAGGCAACATTGCGTATGTCCGCCTGCACCATGAGAGTGGCACCGATCTCACACAGTGTTCTATTCATTCGTTCAGCTACACCCATCTGCCACCAATTGCGTGGCGTGGACAGGTCTCTGTCGATGCCCTCTCTTGCACACATGTAAGCAAACTCTCCTCCTACATACTCACCTGCGTTATCTGTTCTGAGTGTCTGTGGTTTGCCGACCTCTCTCAGATAACGCTTAAGTGCATTTGGTGCGTCTTTCTTCGACTTCATGCAGACGATGTGTGACCGTCTGCTGTAGTCGTCGACAAACACCATGTAGTATATGTAGGAGTAGATCAGGCTTGGTGGCAAGGGGCCACCGATGTCTGAATGTACGTACTCGAGCTTTTTGGTTGCTCTGCGTGGTTCGCCTTGCCCTTTTGGCTGTGCGTATGCCTTGCCTATCTCGCAGGCATCACACAGCTGCTTTTTGCTTAAAGGTGGAAGCACGAAGCGAGGCAGCGCATGAGCATACCTTTCTTGCATGATACGCATATACGAGCGACACGGATGACCTAGCTTATTGTGTGTCTCCCAGTAATTGCGTATCAGTTTGTCTGTATGAGTAGAGTGGAAGGCATCGTCATGCCCTCTCTTCAGGCCAGCTGCGTTCCTCTCATTGTTATTCGCTGTGCTGTTATTGTTTTGCCTGAATGCCCCCTCTGTCTTTGACAGTGAGGGTGAGCTGTCGGTGAGAGTGCTATCACTAGGTCTGCCCTTGGGACGAAGCACACACTCATCCACACATTCATCTGTATGTGTATGGTGCATGCCTCTGTGGCGTGTCCATGGCTCAGTGAGGCCACATTACACACATTCAATTTGCGTGAGGGACCTCTGGACTTGTCAGCATGAAACCGAAAAAGATCATTCATTTCGATCATGTCTTGCTGATACAGGGGCAACAGATCACTTGATGCAACCACAGCACATGCACATGGCTGCATCTGAGTGACCACATCGCTCTCTGCGTCCTTTCCCTTACACACACGCATCTAATCCTTGCATGCATCGACCAAAAATTGGTTCTTGAACAAAGAATACAGCTGCATGGATCGATCATGTGTCAGACCAATCCAATATACAGCCCCATACTTCAAAAATGGATAGAGGAGCCCAGTCGCTTTCTCTTTGATGCAGCTCACTTCTCCTGCCTCTTCGAACTCAACGGCACACTTGCTGTCGGTCAGCTGACCGATCGACAGCAAGTTAACCGTGAGCTGAGGAACCAGAAGAGAATGAAGCAACTGGATGGTCTTCAGGCTCCCCGATGCAGTGCACAGAGTGACTTGGACCACCCCCTCTGCCTTGATGGGCACCAGAGTGCCATCTGCTAGCTTGAGCACTCCTGGGCGGCCACTCACTGTGCACTCGTTCAACCTGATGAAAGGATCAGACACACGGAACATGTGTTTTGTGGTTCCTGAGTCAAGCATGGCAGCCTCGCTATCAAGAACTGCCCCAGCCACATTCAGCTTCCATATAGCTGTGTGGCATTGCTCAACCTCTTGAACCACATCAGAGGTTGTGGACGAGCGGATATCCACGACCACGTCAGAGTGGCCAGCTCTGATGAATCGTGGTGTCCGCGCACACTCAGCACCTCTCCATTTCTCCTCCAGCACATCTAAGTGCACTACACGTGCTTTGTGCGCTGGGGCAGCTCCAGCCTCACACAGACAGGACAAGTCAGTCGTACTGCCGCCTGCCTGTGGTGGTTCTGAGGCCGACTGACTCCACTCATCTATCGCTTCGCTATCTTCCTGGCTTGTACGTACCTGTTTGCCCTTGCCGCCACGTCGTCTTCGTCTCTTGCTTTTGCCTCCTCTGGCGGCCTGGCTGAAGGTCACCATCTTAGGCGACGTCTCATGCATCCGCACATCACCATCCTTGTCTCTTGCTGACTCTCGGGCGATACGAGCGAGCACACGGCATTGCTCGGTGGTGTGGTTGAACAGCGGACGGATCGGCCGCTGCGAACAGAGTTGACAGTACAGCTGCTGGCGCTGCTCTTGAGCCGCACCAGCCACCGGCAATGTGTGCACTGTCGATGACCCAACCGAGCTAGGCGAGCGAGACAATATGTTGCGCAGATCCGATGTGTCGGTTTGTCGCGTCAGCGTACCGTCACCCAAGTGTGCGATGACGAGCGACGACGACTGTTTCATCCGCGCATAGTTGAACTTGCCGCCACTGATAAACACACGAACCAACTCACGACAGAAGGGATTATCTATGTGGCGCTTGAGGTCCTGCAGCATCCTTTGTGCTGTGTCCTCTCTGTCGTATTTTTTGTGACCGTGTGCTTGATTTGCAGTTTCTGCGAGTCTCTCCAAGTGGCCGAGGTTGTCGGGGAACCCCTGCCTCTCATCATAACTCCACGAGTTGAGACTCGCATCTGCCTCCACACGTCTTTGCTCAATGCTCGCCTCGTATCTGGAACGCAGAGCCAACAGAGACAGGTATCCATCACTTTCCTTGCCAGCACTCACGACCGTTGCCTGACAGTCCTGGTGTTTCGTGGCCTCGAACAACCCTCTCCACAACACCCACTTCTCCTTCTCGAGGTTGTACTTCTGCCACTCGCCGAGGTCGTCGACGACTAGTCCGTGGTGGAGGACGTCATCGAGCGACTCGTGGAAGTACTTCTTCATGCCGTCGAGACCGGAGAAGGTCGACTTGAACCCATGGTACCAGATCTCGTAGTCCTTGGTGTTGCCGCTGAAGGGAGGTGGATGGGTAGCGAGCGATTCAGCCACCTTCTGCCAGTCGCTGTCGTGAGGCTCGGTGTCGAGCAGGTAGTGAAGATCAGGCTCCATGACTGACACGGTGTCTCGTCACGGGAAGCACGTCAGACGACTCAACACACCTTCCGGTGGGCTCATATAACCAGTTGGAGATCACAGCGTAGCTGAGGTTGCGAGTAGAAGTGTGAGGAAGCCAAATCGGAGCATTCAGAGACAGAAGAGCGTCCGATAGCACGCATCAAAGCACGCATCTTTGTGTCTCGTAGATCTGCGCCCGTGTAAGTTCTGCTCTAACTCGCCTTTCTGCCACTCCATCTGCCAATCTCTCGTGTCGGTCAGCTTCTCCGTGACGCTCCTTGCTATACTACACTTTTTCTGGCATCGTTTCTTCCTCTTTCGATGTGCCGACATGAATTGTAGCTCGCATTCGCAAAGAGAGGGGCGCTGCTCCACGCACGCACGCGCGGCGCCATCAGGTAGCTGGGGTGGCGCGTGTGCGACGTTGTATGCCTGCTCGTATGTTGCCGTCCTTCGCAGCGCATTGCATATCCACCTGTTTGCTGCATCTGCCCTTTGCGTGTTGCGTGTTGCGTGTCCGGGGTGCATGTTCGGGTGCGTGGTTCATGCTGGACAGACCGACAGGGGACTTGGCCGTCAGGCCGCCTAGGGTGCTCCCTGAAACCGCTGCAAAGAGAGGGGATTCCGTAGTTTTTCACCCTTGTTCGCCCTTCCGTCTGCCCATTTCGCTTGTCAATTGACCCTGCTCAACGTTCCCTCTCTATAAGTCCGCTTGCCCACCCCCCTCGTTTCGTAGTTTGAGTTGACGACTGCCGGTGATGGCGTGGGCGTTTAACGCCGTCCTTCCCTTCTTCGTGTTGGTGTCGGGGTCGACGATCGCCGTCATTCATCCCCTTTACCACAGCCGAAAGGTCAATCGCGACACCCCCGATTTCCCAGCCGACGAGTGGGAGAAGGAGGTGAAGGGCATCATCATAGAAGCGATGTGGGCGGCGTTGCCTGAGGACGTGCGAAACGACACCAGCAGCAGCAAGGACAAGAAGAAGAAGCGGAAGAGCAACAAGGGCATAATGGCGGCACAGAACGACAAGTGCATCATCGACGGATGCGACAAGGGGGTGAAACCAGCGAACAAGGTGTGTCGTGTCTGCCACAAAATGGTGTGCAGTCCGCACGGCAACGCTGACGAGTGGGAGGGCAACAAGGTGGTGCAGATGGTTTTGGACGTGTGCGACGACAACCACTGGTTGATGAGAGCCAAGTTCATCTGCGTCAAATGCATCCTGCCGAAGTTCATCCAGGTGCGGAGGCGAGAGGAGAAAGGGCATAAAATGTGTCTGTGCATGTGTGCATGTGTGTGTGTGTGTGTGTGTGATGTCAGAAGTTGAGCAGCAACCAGGGCAAGAACGCCGCCGACCACCGATGCCCTATGGCCAAGGACATGAAGGACTTGATCGCCGAGTATGCTCCCCAGTACGCCGACAACAACAACGGAGGCGACCCCATGAACATCAAGTAATGAGTTAGTGTGCCATAGTGTACAGGGAGGAAGGAGGGAAAGAGAGAGGGGCAGTATGTCGGTCGGTCGGTCGCTCTGTATCTCTCGCTTGCGTATCTGTCCGTCCGTATGTATTTGTGCATATCGCTTGCGTGTGTTGATAAATGATGTGCGTAATGTTGGGGGGGCAGGGACACACACACAAGTAGGGAGCGACGCACACACACGGGGAGGAACGCAGATACATACGTCACTTTTTGCCATCTGACGTCACTTTTGCTATCGTTGAATGAGTAAGCACCAGTTTTGACACGGACAGAAGCAACAGACGGACGCATGCATTGAAAGTTAACGCACACACGCAACAGACGAACACGGTGGAAGTCAGAGTCGACACACACACTCACACCAGCAAGCATCCCACGCACAGCTACGCATCAATTAGGCAACTGCTCACTGTCTACTGGTCTTCCTTCTGCGTCTGAGTTGAGGAGGGGCCTGACGGGATCAGCGAGCTTCCCCGTTCACTGGGCCTCACGAGCTTGCAGGCGAGCACGATGAATGTGCCACTTCCTCGGCTGCCGAGCAGCGCCTCAACATCTGCGTGCACTCATGGCCACTCGTGGTCTGACTCGGCCACCCCCACTATCGTGGGCACGCCTCGAGATGACTTGCTTGCACACCGGCAGCATGAGGCTGCGCACTACGCCAATCAGCAATCTGTCAAGCGCAAGCTCATCTGGGCGTCGCTCGTCTGCGTAAGGGCCATGCACGTACAGCTGAGAATTTACCGATGTCCAAGCAACGTGTCGTGTACGCAGTTTGTTGGT